TAATTCTGTTCTCACTAGAAAACACTCTTTATAACAGTTTTATATTTAGAAACTTATTGAAATTTATGGCTCAACATAAGGTCTAGCTTGGTAAACTTCCCATGTATAGTTGAAAAAACTGTTATGCACTTGTCAGGTATGGGTTCCATAACTCAGTTTGGTTACGTTCATTACTGGTGTTGTTCAAATCCTCTATATGCTTAGGATTTTTGTTGTTGTCTACTTCAGTTACTAAGAGAAGGATGTGGAAATCTTCAGTTATGATTTTGGAGGGTTTCTGGTTTTTCTCTTTAGCTTTTTCTGTTTTTGTTCATTTATACTTAGGAGTGGTGAATTCACTTTTATCATAATGAAATATATCTCTTAATCTATGGTAATATTCTTTGTCCAACATGTTACATTGTCTAATATTAATATAGGCATGCCATTTTTTTTGTGCTTATTGTGTGCATTACTTTTCTTTTTCCGTCCTTTTTCTTTCAACCAGTCATTTTATTTAATATAAATAGTATCTCTCAGCAGGTAGGTTCTACTTTTGTTAATCCATTCTGAAGGTCTCTGGCATTTAATTAGAATGATTAGTCTGTGTACATTTAGTGTGGTTATTGGTGTGGTTAGATTAAAGTTTTTCCCGTTGCTATTTGTTTCATTGGTTTTCTTTGTCCCCCACCCCCCTTTCATTCCCATCTTTTCTTGAGTCAATCAAATAATTTGTAGTGTTCCATTTTCAGCACTCTCTTTGTATTTTTAGGATTGCTTTGGGGATTAAAATAGGCATTTTAGCTTATTTCACTTAGTGTTAATATTGGGCCATTTTTCATTAAATGTTTGAAGCATATAATAGAAAAATTCTGTAATCTTTCTCCATCTTTTGTGCTGCTATTACTGCTTTAAGCAGCTAGTTTTTCAAAGAAATTAAAAGGGAAAACAATCTTTTATGTTTACCCACATATGCAATTTTGGTTTTTCTTTATTCCTTATTCTTCTTATCTATAGATCTGAGTTCTTGTCTGGTATCATTTCCCTTTTGCTGGAAGACTATTCAGTGTAATTTTGATTTTGGAGGGTTTCTGATTTTTCCCTTTAACTCTTTCTGTTTTTGTTCATATATATTTAGGAGTGGTGAATTCACTCTTTTATCATAATGAAATTTATTTCTTTATCTATGGTAATATTCTTTGTCCAGCAGTCTACATTGTCTGATATTAATATAGACATACCATCTTTTTTATGTTTATTGTGTGCATGACTTTTCTTTTTCCATCCTTTTTATTTCAAATTCCAGTTACTTAAGTTCATTGGTGATGAAGTCTCTCAGCCGTTGTTTATCTGAAAATGTCTTAATTTCACCCTCATATTTTAAAGAGCATTTTTGTTGGTTATAGAATTGCAGACTGACAGTTATTCTTGTCTTTGGTTCAGCACTATAGATGTTGTTTCTTGTTTTCATTGTTTCTGATAAGTCAGCTACTACTTGTTTTGTTGTTCTGCTTTGTGTAATGCATCATTTTTCTAAGGCTGTTTTTAAGAGTTTCTCTTACTTTTTGATGTTCAGCAGTTTGACTATGATGTGTCTAGGCAAAGATCTCTTTGTTTTGTCTTTCTCAGAATTTGCTAAGATTCTTAGGTATGTAAGTGAATATTTTCTACCAGATTTGTCAAAATTCCAGCCATTATTTCTTCACATTTTTTTGTTCTCCATTTTCTATTTTCCTAGGACTGCAGTTAGATATGTGTTTAATTGCTTAATATTCGCCTATTGAAACCTCAGGTGTTTCCATTTTGAACTTAGTCTAAGTGCATGGCTTTTACTCTAGAGTGCTATTTTTTATTACTAAGGTATGGCCTTCCTGGTATCTCAGTTGAATGCCTGAGGTCCTTATGTAAGTCTCTTTCTCTTAAATCTTGCTTTTCCCCCCTTTATTTGTTCTTTATATTTCAGATTGTAAACTACAGAAGAAAGGGCTAGGGCTAGTGACTATGAATAGATCAGTGGAAATTATCTGCTATTCATGTTATCTAGCAGATCTTCATTTTAGATATTGTACGTTTCAGTTCTAGAATTTCCATTTGGTCCTTTTTGATAGTGCCCTTTTCTCTCCTGAAATTACCTATCCATTCACTTATTATAACTATATTTTCCATTAACCTTTTGAACATATTCATAGTAGTTGTTTTATAATTCTTGTCACTAATTTCAAAATCTAGAAATCTCAAGGCTTATTTTTATTAACTTTTCCACCTTTGATTATGGGTCACATTTTCTTGTTTCTTGATATGTCTAGTAATTATTTTACGGTGTTGAGCATTATGAGTTATACATTATAGGTAGTCTGGATTAAGGGTATTGAGTTTTGTTCTGGTAATTATTTACATTTCTGGTATATTGGTCCTATCTGAATTGGATTTCTATCAGTAAATCATAGGCAGGTGTTTCCACTTTTAACTTAGTCCAAGTGTGTAACTCTTATTCTAGAGTGCTATTTTTATTACTAAGGCGTGGCTTTCCTGGTATCTCAGTTGAATACCTGAGGCCCTTACGGAGGTCTCTTTACTCTTATAGGGCAGCATCTTCTAGCACTACATGGCCTCCAGGGACTCTCTTTGGTACTCAGCCCAAGACAGCTACTCCTCTCTCTTAGGCCTCATGGACAGTGAAGCCCCTGACAAAGCAACTTTGAGAAACCCCCATTAGAAGTTCTGGGGCCTACTCTTTGCTACTCTGGCTCACAAATTCCAGACACTTATGCAACTTGGAACAACCATCTTGTTCTCCTCTGCTCAGTGAAACTACAGTTCTGCACTGCCTGTGGTCTAGTGCCTGGGGACAGCTGCTTTGTATGTTTTGTCCAATTTTATAGTTTTACAGTGGAGGGCAAGACCAGTACCAATTACTCTCTCGTGGTTGAAAGCGGAAGCCTGGCAGTTTATTATTTTGCTGTGTCTTCCTCATTAATAATATTAGTGGCACTTCACCATTATAAAAATTCTAACTGGAGTATAACTGATTTCTACAGTTCCCTAATTTCTGTGTGACCGCAGAGTTATTATTAACTTGGGTTTACTTCTGTTAAAAGCCAAGCATCTGAACTTCCAGAGCCCACCCTCTTAGTCTACCTCTATCCCCAGTCACAGACATGAACTAATACTCTGATTCATTGCCCCTATTCAAGCAGCCCTCATGGTGCACTCAGAGAAACTTTGTGTTTTGTACCAATTGTCACTTATGCCATCTTAACCCTTCTTAGTCCTCATTGTCAGCAGCAGTGGTAGTCTGCGAATGGTAATTCAGGTTGGGAGTGGTGGTCTTCAGCTATTTTGAAAATGGTCAGTTTAGGATCAGAGTCTAGTGTGGCCACTTTCTTTGCCTTATGTTAAAATTAGGTATTTTAAACCAGGCTCGGTGGCTCAGCCTGTAATCCCGCGCCTTTGGGAGGCTAAGGTGAGTGGATTGCCTGAGCCTGCGGGTTTGAGACCCACCTGGGCAGCGAGACCTCATCTCTACAGTAAATCAAAAAATCAGCCGGGCGTGGTAGCGCATGCTTGTAATTCCGGCTACTCGGAAGGCTGAGGCGGAAGGATTGCTGGAGCCCAGCAAGTCGAGGCTGCGGTGGCCGGGAGTGGCCACTGCACTCCAGTCTGGGTGACAGAGTGAGACTCCAACTCAAAAAAAAAAAAAAAAAATTAGGTATTTTAAAATTAGATCTCAGATATACTCTCCCTTACAATAGGTAGTGTGTTTTCTGCATGTTGGATTAACGTGTTTGTGTGTAATATTGGCTTTAACAGTATTTGCAGACAGCCTTCAGTAATTGAGGCACAATAAGTTCTGTTTTTTTCCTGAAGGGATCCAGCTGGATGCCCCATGCCCTGCCCTTGCCCCTACCCCTACTATCTTCCTCTCTGTATATTTTGTGATTGAATTCACTACTATTTGCTTAGCATTTTTTAACTTTCAGAGTGTTCCATGTATCTCTGGCCCTTCCTTTCCATTCATAGTCTCGGTTGACAGTCTTATTACCTCTTGCCTGGGCTGTTATTCCTTTTCCTTCCAGAAATCTGGCCAAACCCTCCTATAGCTTAATCGTCCTCAAGTAGAGTTTCTCCCTCTAACTGAGTAAATCATATTTACTGTTCCATATTGCCTTCTAGACTCCTCAGCTGCTTTACAGATGACCTTCCCAGATTTGGTTTTTTTTTTTACAGTTCCCCTCATATCTCCCTTCCTTGTACTTCTCTGTAAGCTTCCCCTCCACTGCAGCACCCTCCCCTCTGTAAAGTCAGTCCTCTTCATTGACCAAGGTCTCTCCCACTCATTGTCCCTCAGCTGAAACCTGCTCCAGTTCTCTGTCCAGTTCACACTTGAATTACAGGTGTTTGTATAGATCTAGTCCTGTCTCTCAAGACAGGAAAACATGACTCAGTAGTGCGCCATATCCCTTGGAGTCCCTTTTGCCCTCCACATGGTAGATATTCCATAAATACTTGTCATTTTATTCTCTTTGGAACCCTTTGATCCAGGGAGGGTGAAGAAACTAATACCCCACGTGTTGATATGTGATGACGCACAGAGAATTAAAGATCAATTCCAGGTTTATATTCTGAGTCTCCTTGTTGATTTCCTCTGACAGCCTCTTCATTCTTATCTAATTTGGCTCAAAATTACTTCAGTTGACCCTTAAGTATAAACTTAATGTTTTTTTATACTTAATGTTCTTTTATAAACTTACTGTTCTTTTGGGGGCACGCCCAAGTTCATTAAGAAATGAGATGGGAAATTGTTCTCCTTTCTACTCTTCCCTTTGCTGTCCTGGTAGGGCACGTCTGCCACTGCAAAAGGTATTGAAGGGAAAATGCTGATCCTTAGAGTTTCCATCGTTGTTATCCTGGTCTTTTCATCACACAAGACCCCATGGAATGGTGCTCTGGTCTGATGTTTTCTACATCTGACTTGGTATCACTGTATGAATACAATTCTCCACCTCCCTCTTTTATTTCAGGCACTCCGTCTTAGTAACATGGCCATGGGAAAGACAACCACAGGCCAAATAGTCAATCTGCTGTCTAATGATGTGAACAAATTTGATCAGGTAAGCTGCACCTGAGAGATCTTCTGGTATTGCACACCCTTCTTAGTTTAATGTATCAGACCGTCAAGTGCCAGTTCTTGGCATAGGCCAGGATTCTTTTGAGGACATAAGGCAAGGGTACTTTTTAATCTTAGCATATGGTGATGGGATTTTGGGCTGAATTGTTTTTCTTCTTCTCCAGATGATAAACTCCTGCAGGGTAGGGATTGGTCTTTTACCTGTGCCCCGTACAGTGCCTGGTACATAGAAAACCTTTGATAAATCATGTCAAATGTTTGGTTCCTAGTCAGAGGTAACCTATTCTTCCCTGTCCCACCATGCCTCCCGCAATTCTGTGTTTTTTGTTTGTTTGTTTGTTTTTGTTTTTAAAGAGACAGGGTCTCACTCTGTCACCTAGGCTGGAATGCAGTGGCATGACCATAGCCAACTGTAACCTTGAACTCCTGGGCTCAAGCGATCCTCTCACCTCAGCCTCTCTAGTAGCTGGGATTAGAGGCATGTACCACCACACCCACCCAAATATTTGAAACTTTTTTTGTAAAGACAGGGTTTTGCTCTGTTGCCCAGGCTGGTCTTGAACTCCTGGCCTCAAGTGATCTTTCTGCCTCAGCCTTCCAAAGTGCTGGTATTGTGGGCATGAGTCACTATGCCCAGCCTGTGCCCATTTTTTTTAATACTTACCTTATGAGTGTATCCTTATGCAGGGCATTCTAGTTACTGGTGAGATTTGTATTGTGCTAGGACCACTTTTCTTTGAATTTTTCATTTATCAGACATGAACTAATGCCCCTATTCAGTGTCAGGGATGAATAAAACTTGGTTTCTTCCCTGAAGAAACTTGGAGCCTGCCTGGGAGATAGATACACAAATGATTACTGGAGAATGTGGTAGGCACTATGGTATAGGCTTTTCTGGGGTGCTGGGGAGCACCAGGGGAGATGGGAGCTGAATTTCATGGCAGAGAGTTTTGAAAAGTGCTCAGCTCATCTGGGAGATAAACAAGATCTGTATTTTCTTTCTTATGCTGCTGATCTGGTTTTCTTGTAAGTGCCCCAGACCTGCCCTTTGTTTCCCCAGAATGGCTTTCTCTGAGGTAGATAATTGGATTTCTGCTTTGGCAGGTTTAAAATCCTCTGTGGTTATTTCTGTTTAGTGTTTTGCCTGTTCTTTCTGAGCAGATTATTTTTCTGTACTGCGTTCTTACTGGTTTTGTTTTTATATAGTCCTAAGAACACTTTGTCTTTTTCTTTGAAGGTAACCGTCTTTTTACACTTTCTATGGGCAGGACCACTGCAAGCTATCGCAGTGACTGCCCTTCTCTGGATGGAAATAGGAATCTCGTGTCTTGCTGGGATGGTAGTTCTAATTATTCTTCTGCCTTTGCAAAGCTGCATTGGAAAGTTGTTCTCATCACTGCGGTAAGAGAAACACTGGTTTAAAAAATGTTCTTTGTGTTTGATAATACTACAGTCTGCCCAATGCTTTTGTTCAGAAACAAAATAAATGCCTTGTATTATCTCTCCTTTGCATATGTTGCAGGCTCTTAGGCTTACCCAGTGGGAGCTCCAGCCTTCTGCTGAAGGTTAATCTTTTTGGGGTCAAGGTGAAGGCATCCACTGGTCTTCCCAGCTAGAACTTCAGGCACCATAGCTTCACTAAGTAGAATGTCTTTAAGCAGAATTTACCTATGTAGAAGTTACTTAGACATATTAAATGATAATAAATGGAAATATTTTAAGGCTCAATTCCAGCCACATATATTTTTATTATGCTTATGTGAGAGCTATTTTTCATGTGTGTATACATGTGTTATTTTTAATTCAATGTTCCATGAAGCTATAAGCTCCCTGAGGGCAGGGTTGATTTTAATGATGTCTTTATAAATTCCCACAGTTCTGGCAGTGTATGTGTTAGAAAAATGGCTGTTGATGAAGAGGTTAATGATGATAAAGTAAATTAGGCCTGAAGCAGGTCCCAAAGAATTGGAAGTAAGCCATTGTCAAGGTTATCAGGCGGATGGAGGTGCCCCAGTTTTCAGTGTGCATTGAGTTCTTTGTGCCTTTGCTCATGGTGTATTCAGTACTTGCAATTTTTTTTACTTTTCATTGGTTGCCATCTGGAGAAATGTTCCATATCTTCCTAAGCCCTTTTCAAATTATCCTGGTACTTTGAAACTATTTTGCTCTCTGCTTTTCCAGCAGAATTAACAAACAGCTCTTTCTTTTTTGCTCCCAGCACTTTATTACCATTTTATTACACCCCATGCACTGTATTATTGTTAGACTTAGTACCTTGCTGACTTCCCTGCTTGCCTGAGAGCTCCTTGAAGGAGCAGATTGTATCTGACTCATTTTCCTGTTTTCCTCAGCAAATATTGCATTTTCTCCAAAATACGTACTGAGTTGGGACAAATTGTTGACTTTGTGATCGCAGTCTTTTTGCATTTTTATTTTGAGTAGGACCTGTCTATGTTGTCGGTGCAAAAGAGCTGTAGGGAACCATTTGATCCAGGGTCTCTGCCCATGCCTGTTGCTGATAAGGAAAGTTAGGCGGTGATCACTGGCTCACCTCCCGTATCTGTCCCCCTTAGGAGTAAAACTGCAACTTTCACAGACATCAGAATCAGGACCATGAATGAAGTTATAACTGGCATAAGGATAATAAAAATGTATGCTTGGGAAAAGTCATTTGCAGAGCTTATCACCAATTTGAGAAGGTAAGTGATTGTGTACATTATACTGTATTCTTATACTTTTCTATTTGCTATTTTTAAATGGAATGTTTTAGAAGTCTTATTAGGCTTTTACGTTAGGTAAACTTCAGTACTACCTACCCTGTGTCCTGCGTGTGGCAGTAGGGTTAAGTGGAATGGCAAAGGACATCATTTTAACCTCGTCTTCCATTCACCATGTTTTTATTTACTTATTTATTTTTGGGTCAGATTCTCACTGACACCCAACCTGGAATGCAGTTGCATAATCACAACTACCCCAGCCTCAACCTGCTGGGCTTAAATGATCCTTCTGCCTCAGCCTTCCAAGTAGCTGGGACTACAGGTGTGCACCACCACACCCAGCTAATTTTTTCATTTACTGTAGAGACAAGGACTTGCCATGTTGCATAGACTGGTCTTGAACTCCTGGGCTCAGGCAGCCCTGTCACCTTGGTCTCCCAGGGTGCTGGGATTATAGGTGTGAGCCACTATGTCTAGCCCTACCATGTTTTTAAAGCAAAAGGTATGTATGTTCCTTGCTAATACAAAAAGGAAATTCTAAATGTTTGTAAATATCCAAAATCTCCAGCAAGCAATGATTCTATGATATTAGTATTTGAAAATATGACAGAGTAAAACTGCAGTTTATTTTGCAGCCAAATGGGCAGATTATAGAGATCGGGCACTCTCCAATTCATTCCAGACAACCATGGAAATACTGTTCCTTTTGTTTTGCTTTATGACTTTGTTTTGTTTTGAATTGGAGTCTCACTCTGTTACCCAGACTGGAGTGCAGTGGCATGCTCCCAGCCACTGAAGCCTCGACCTGCTGGGCTCCGGCGATCCTTCCGCCTCAGCCTTCCAAGTAGCTGGAACTACAGGCGCGCGCTACCACGTCCAGCTTAATTTTTTTATTTATTGTAGAGATGAGGTCTCGCCAAGTTGCCCAGGGGGGTCTTGAACCTGTGGGCTCAGGTAATCCACTCACCTCAGCCTCCCAAAGCACGGGTTTATAGGCCGAGCCACCGAGCCCAGCTTGTTTTTAGAATTTTTAAAAATTTAAATATCTGATTAGTTTTGGTAATCCTGCACATGACACTCTAATCCTGGCAGCACCTGGCCACCTCTTACCTTTGCACCTTTGTAGATGTGTCTTCCTACGCTTCAGATGTGCTGTCTCCTTCATTCTTCTCTGACCTCTGCCTAGTATGTGACCTTTGCTGACTCTGCCTCTTTGAATTACCCACCTCTTCTCCTTGCTCCCATGGGGCCCCGTACCATCTACTTCTGTCTAGTGTCTTGGGTTCTTAAAAATTTGGGGTTGCTTATTTTCTTTTTTTGTTTTTTTGGGTTTTTTTGAGTTGGAGTCTCACTCTGTTGCCCAGACTGGAATGCAGTGGCTGCTCCCAGCCCCCGCAGCCTCGACCTGCCAGGCTCCGACGATCCTTCCGCCTCAGCCTTCCAAGGAGCTGGAACTACAGGCGTGCGCTACCACGCCCAGCTAATTTTTTGATTTATTGTAGAGATGAGGTCTCGCCTGCCCAGGCGGGTCTTGAACCTGCGGGCTCAGGCAATCCACTCACCTCAGCCTCCCAAAGCGTGGGGTTATAGGCTGAGCCACCAAGCCCGGTTTGGGGCTGCTTATTTTCTTATCCAATCATTTTGTGAGTTCCTGAGGAGCCAGGCTGTGGCTCACTCATCAGCCAGGTACCCAGCAGAAGACTTGTGTTTATGAATGCTTGTTAAATGAATGTGTTTGAGTGCTTGCTTAAATCCAGTCTGATTGACCCAAGATGTCAAACTGTGACATAAAATATCATTTTGTTGGATGAACGAACTGATTATTCAGTGGTCTGTGTGGTCCTTGAATTACAGCTGTACCCAGGGGATGTGCTGTCAAATATTTCCATAATGTAAGAGATAGTTTTCCTTAATCTATATCCACTGCATCAAAAGGGACCTTGTGCAAAAGGCACTTGACTTTGATGTTGATATCTCCTTTAAAACCTGCATTCTGTTTTTTAGGAAGGAAATTTCCAAGGTTCTGAGCAGCTCCTACCTCAGAGGGATGAATTTGGCGTCGTTTTTTAGTGCAAGCAAAATCATTGTATTTGTGACCTTCACTGCCTACGTGCTCTTTGGCAACGTGATCACAGCCAGCCGAGTGTTTGTGGCAGTGACGTTGTACGGGGCGGTGCGACTGACAGTCACCCTGTTCTTCCCTTCAGCCATTGAGAAGGTATCAGAGGCGATCGTCAGCATCCGAAGAATCCAGGTGTGGCAGCAAATTACATTTTAAAGTTGCAGGTGGATTTTAAGTAAAAAGGACACTATTTTGCTTAGTTTCCTCTTAGTGTCACTGTATTCCAATTTAGTGAAGTAGTTTAACTCTCAGCCCTGAAATGTTCAGTCATTCCAAAATGTTGTGTGTACTTCCCTATCTTAGAGAGCGTGTACTAAAAACAGTGTAAGAATTGTGATCATCTATGGCAGCAAAGTAAACAGCTGTACCACAGGGTTCTTGGTGCACAAGTGATAACTAGGGTTGTGATGAATGTGTCTACAATGCCTAAAAGCAAACAGATTTCATCTCCTTTGTTAACTCAAATGCCTGGCTAGTGACGGTACAGTTCTGAGTTGAGTACGATTCCTCTGTGGGCTGGAAGGAAAGAGGTTGCTGAAAGGTCTTTATTCCTCGGGCAGGAAGAATGGCCTCAACCTCACTTAGTTATCACTATTTAAAAATGGGTTCTTTCCTCTGCGGTTGTTTTCCTTGTGAATTGCTAGGTGTGCCTTTTGGATCTCTGCAGTTTTCCTCTCCTTTTTTCACTGTAAAAAAAAAAACTGTCCATGAGCCTATTTCTAACAGCTTCTTCCATTTAGATTTGTTGATTTCTACTTTCTTGGTCTGTTTCTGCTGCTATAACAAAATACTCAAGACTGGATAACTTATAAAATAGTAGAAATGTATCTGTCACAGTTCTGGAGCTGGGAAGTCCATGATTAAGGTGCTGGCATTGGTATCTAGTGAGGGCTGCTCTCTACTTCCAAGATGGTGTCTTGAACACTGTGTCCCCACATGATGGGAGGGACAGAAGGTTAAAAAGGGCCTGACTTGCCGGGCTCGGTGGCTCAGCCTGTAATCCTGCGCCTTTGGGAGGCTGAGGTGAGTGGATTGCCTGAGCCCGCGGGTTTGAGACCCGCCTGGGCAGCGAAACCTCATCTTTACAATAAGTAAAA